TGAGGGGAAGGTGTTAGACACCCTTTATCTACCTTGTTTGCAACAATACTAGGTTTAGAAGCACATTTTAAGAAAATATGGTTTTAAGTTTAATTAGGGGAACTCGCCACAATTTTTGATCGTATGTCTATGTATCCTCTTAGGAGGAATCAGAGTCTCATTTCGTAGTTCGCAGTTGGTTTGTATTTTTTAGGAGTTACAAAATATATTTGATTTCCCGCGTGCTTTGCCTAGGTGTTGGGAGTAGAGGAGATTTTTAGACAACCCATGCAGTCGATTTGAATATATTCGCAATCCTTTTTGAAAATTGTTTATTGAATTAATTTGATTTAGGAAAATGCTTTGTGTTTGGTTGATATTTTATATATTTAATTGCAAAAATGTCTTATTTAAAATGCATGATTAAAAGAATAATTTAATGCAATAAATAAAATATGTTTGAATGAAATTGGAAAATAATATGATTTTATATGATAACAATAATAATATTAAATATTAAATATATTAAAATAAGAATATAAAAATAATTATAATAAAAAAGTAAAGAAAATAAAATAAAGTGTGGGGGTGCAAATTATACTAAGCTAGTAAAATAGAGGGGTGTTCAACGATACAAAGTTCTTCAATCAAAATTGCAGTCAGATTCGACTTCTAACATTTTCTTCTTACCCCACGAGATCCTTGAAAACATTGAATCTACATATCATGCATCATGTCATAATAACAAGTTTTCCCCATACAAGATTTTTTTATCTGGTTACTGTTTATTTCAGTAAAGATGGCTCTCGAACAGACTGTCAGAAATCTCCAAGTTCAAGATGCCCAGTTCAAAGAAATATTCTTGAACTTATCCAAGGGACAAGAAGAATTGAAAGCACTCCTCACTGAGAGCATGGCCAAGAAGAATCCTGAAGACAACAAGGATGACCAGTTGAAACAATTGCAAGCTGAGATGGCAACGATGAGAATCCAGATGATGGGTCAGATGCCTCTTATCTAAAACCTAGCTCGGGGACAAGAAGAGTTGAGAACTCTCATCAGCAAACTTCATCAAGACAAATGCAACCGTATTGGACGAACGGCTAGAATTGGGGATCAAATCATTAATCAACCTCTAATGAGATAGGAAGTTGGCTTGGTTAAAAGTAGGCCTTTCTGGATTGCTACTACATCACAAGTCCAACAACGTCATCCCCAACAACAACAGGGGAATTAGTTTAAGCAAGATGCACCCAAAAGACGATTTACCAAAATCAACATGTCATTGGCTCAAGCATTGTAACACATGTTGAAGTCCGAGCTGGTGACATTGAACGATACACATCCTAAGCCCAATACTCCTTCTTCCCGTCACAATCCTAATGTAAGGTGTGCATACCACTCCAACAGTTCAGGGCATGACACTAACAATTGTTGGGCGTTGAAAAATAAGATTCAGGATCTGATTGACGAAGGAATAGTCGAGTTTATGCAAGATGGGTAGATCGAGTTCTTCTGTTATCCCCCAAATGCCGATGCTGCAAGGCACACCATCTAAAGTGACAAGTTCAGGCGGAGAAGCTTTTTGTTCATTCAAAATTTCGTTTGTAATTTCTCTAGTTGATTCAAACATTTATCTTTATGTCAGACTTTTGGTCGTCCTCATTAATGCATTGCATATTTTTGTCTTGAATTGTTCCATTCATTTTCACTATACTTAAGCTATGCTTTTACTTCCTTTTGTGATATTCAGCTCTCGATTAAAAGTTATAAGCCTTTAGAGGGAGGATGACGAAAAAATAGCGTAATCTCTACAATATGACTTTGAACAGACCTTGTTGACAATGTACAAGCGTTGTTTCAAATCCTAAACAATGGATTTATAAGGAACATAATCCCTACTCAACCCCTTTTGATCCTAAGAAGTAGGAGTTTTCTTTTTCATGCAAATTGAAACCTTTAATCATAATCTGGGGCAGAGTAGTTTCTCAGTTAATTCAAATGCGTATTCAGTCGCAAGCTTTCACTTTGTACACAACAAATAGCATCGGAGATGTCCTTGCAAATCAAAAGACGAAGATGGTTCCCCGTAAAATAGGCAGTCATTATCTTTCAAAAGAAGAGCCCGCTAAGTCAAAACCCATGAAGGAGAGTTAAGAAAAAAACTGGGGCATCCCACTGACTGTAATCAAAAAAGAAATAGTTCAGGCAAAAGTTAGGGATAATAAAATAAAAAAAGAGGTCGCTACAAATCCTCGACAACAGAAAAATGTTACAAAAATGAATGCCTTCTCAAATAAACTTCCAGTACCCGAACCATCACCAAAATATCATTCTAGACTCAATTGAAATCTAAACGCACAATTAACTGAGTGTAGGGTTTAAGAACATCATGGAGAACGGGTTGGGTACAAATAAAATTTGAGACTTATCCTTTGTTTCTTAAACCGTGAACCAGGCCACGTTACAACCCTTAAAAGTCCTAGTTGAAGCATAGGTTAGTTCGAAAGCATACAGTTACAAAAATGTATCCTGACTCTTATAAGGCTTGCTATAAATCCTGAGTTGATATCACATTCTTGAAAATTTTGTTTTACTAAAAAATACATTTCTTCAAGACAGACATAAGTTTTTCATTTTATGATACCACTATTTGCATATAACCAATTGTTTGACAGCAGAGAAATTCGCATGACGAATGTCCAATGAACGAAAATCCTTTCAGTAAACGAAATTACTTCAAATGGAAAATCACTTCCAATGATAACCCTTCCATAATCTAGGGGAATGACATGTTATTGTCCAAATCATATATGGTAGTCAAGTCGAGATTCAAAGAATATCTCAAACGTGTTGAATAGCCAGGGGCAGATCTTCATCTGTGTCACTTGGGGCATGTTACATTGATTAGGGGTTCCAGCAAAAACTACTTTGAAATTCGAATCTTTGGTATCATCAAATTTCTTATCTTATCTAGTAGTATCAGATGGTGTCAGTATCATGCCTTCGGGTCTTTCCATGACAGTTCTTAGAAAAATACCGAGGAAGGTTAAGACTATCAGAAACTTTGAAATCTATGGTCGATCAATAACTTCAAACATCGGGTGCACCAGATTAACCCAGGGGAAAATGGAGGGTCATATAGGACCAATCAAACATTTTTTGGTAGTGCTACAACCTTGTGAATGCTGACATAGTCGGAAGGTACTACGCATAAAAGAGATCCGCTAGGTTGACACGCCTAGGAAAAAGTAAGGGCATCCCGACGAACCAAAAGGATTCGGGAAAAATTAGGGATATGTGATACGATAGAAGAACCGACTGTTAATACTGGTTTAAGTTTTGTATTCACAAATGTGCGGTAAGCAAGAGTTTCCACCGACTTTTCTTTTATCCAACAAAGGAAAGGGTGAAAAGAACAGAAATAGACCTTTTAGAGAATTTTCTGAGTAAGGGGGTAGATTATGGAAAGGGAAGGTGTTAGCACCCTTTTCATCCGTAGTTATCTACGGGCTCTTAGAGGTTTGCTCATTTTAATAATACCTTTGTGATTTGTGTTTGAAAATGTTTTGAAAACGCCTTAGTACGACAAACTTTGTAATATTTCTCGGGATAGTGGAGAAAGTATACAAAGTATTTTTTGAAATGTCTTTTGAAAAGCAATTTTTGTGTAAGTGCAAAATGTTTGAGCAAACTTCTAACATATATATATATATATATATATATATATATATATATATATATATATACTTTTATACTCGAAAAGGGTCGTGCTTTTCCTCCTATCCTTTAGACAGTGCTATCCTACTATTAGTGAGTAGGTAGCCTTGCCATTGGATGTTAGAGGGATAATTGAAGGGACTTTTACAGTCACGAAGGCAACTTGGAAAGAGGCTTTAGTAACCACCCTAAAGTTCTAGATCACTTTTAAACTGAGGCAACATCGAGAAGGTCATCGAGGGACTAATGATCTTTAAACTAGAGGATAGCCACTAAAGTCTCTCACATTTTGAGATTTGTGACTGTTTTCCAAAAGCAACCGAAGTGGAGATACCCTATAGGTGTATATGTGCATATGTGTTAGGTTTAGTTATTTATCTTGCATTGTTAAGTTTTCTAACATTATAATTTTTCAGTCTTATTATATACGCCTAGTTACTAACAATTAATATGTACAGAAAATAAAGGGCGGAAAGCGTAAATCTAAACTATTACATTGCTTTCAGGGAGGGGGTATTTACAATGTACAAACAATTGGGAAAAAATAAAGAAAGTAATGAAAAGTCCTATTTAAAACTATTACATCCCAAATAACAGTTACATAAATATATAAAAAAAATGCGAAAAAATGAATAATGCCCGGAAGAATGAAAATACGTTCTAAAACCTAGTGAGAAAAATCTTTTTTGTGTTATTTTTTAATTTAAGAAAATAACTAAATAAATTATTCTAAAGTCTATTTAGAAAATTAACTTAAGAAAAATAAACTAAACTCTTTTTGTGGTTTTTTATATTTATGAAAAGAAATATTAAATCTAAATTAAGTCTTAAATTCTAGTTCATTTTAAATTAAGAAAATAGTTAAAATATAATTAATTAATTGATTAAGAAATTAATTATTTAATTAAAAAAACTATGCCTAATTTTTTTGTGAGTTTTTTATTATTATTATTAAAAAAGATTAAGAAATGAGATAAATAAATAAAACAAAAAGAAAAGAGATTGGGCTTGATGGCTGAAGTAGAATGAGGGTTGCAATTAAAATTTTGCTAAGCCCAGATTATGAAGCCCAGGTCCATCCTTAGATCCAGTGTGGGCAGTACTTGATGATACATGGTATCTCATGTTCTATACGTCATGCATCCCATGTAATTCCCCTAACCTGCTCTAAAGATATCCAGGAACGCATATACACACATTAGAACATTCAACAATTAATAAAAATAGAGATTCGAATTTGAGATTATACCAAAATGGTGATAGCTTGGATCCGGTGATCTGGGACCTTGCAAGCTTTGAGGATGGTTGGAACAAGTCCCTGGGAACCTCAAGAGCAATGTATGATTACTAGTTCGGACCAAAAGTACCTGTAAAATGGGTTTCGAATTTTTACCACTTTTGATAATTTTGCAAAAATGGTAGAGCTCTCTCTAGGATGTGTAGGCCTCTTGAAATGCTTGCTAGATGCTTATTTATATAGAGAGGAATGAGGAGACAAGAAAACAAAGGTTTAAACAACCTTAAAGCAAACGTTTCAAAGCCATTGATGAAATTTGTAACTTTGGCCAAAAACAAGGAAACTTGTCATTTTTTGAATTTAAATGAATGTGGACATGGCTGCACGAAATCTTGGGCTTCAAGGCAAGCTAAAACACCAGCCCAAATGCCAAAACCTATTTCCAATTATTTTATACACTTTATTTTATCTTTATTTGAAATAAATTAAAATAAATGTGTACAAAATAAGTAAAAAAATGTAAGGCATGGTAATAGTGTTTTTGGAGGTACTCTATAATCTTAAGAAGATGTTTGAAGTCCAAGAAATTAAGCCATTGACCTAAAACTTCAAGTTTGCTCAATGCATAATTCTTGAAAATTCCCAAATTTTCCCAACTTGGGCAATCCATAACTTGCTCAATTTTCATCTCATGATGATGATATTTGACTTTTTGGATAGCCCAAGATGTATAATTAAATCCTTCTTTTGATCAATTGTGCATTTGAATATTTTATCTTGATGTAAATGGTCTTGACAAAAAGTTCCTTTTGTTGACTTTCTGAAAATGACATGTAACGTTTAAGCTTGTATCTTTCAAATGGTGCATCTCGTGAACTTGTGGGATGAAGAAAAGTTGTAGGGAATTAAATTCTATTAAAAATGATCCTTGTTTGGGGAAAAATGGATGAGGTATGTGAAATTTATGTCTGGTCAAAGTTTGGTTGACTTTTCCTATAGAAACCCTAATTAACAATTCTTGACTTTGATGAATTAGGAGCATTTCTTGAGGAATCATGATCAACCTTTGATCAAATGATGAATATCACTTCAAAATGTTAAGGTTGACCAAAAATCTTGATGTTTGACTGTATATAGGCCACAATTGACTTTTGACCTAGTACAATTGATTTTCAAACATTTAGGCAATTGACTGAGAAAACTTGTAGTGCAAGGCATGAAATTTGACATGGACAATCTTGAAGACATATTAGGACCCTGGAAAACATTTGAGACCTTTAAGGCTCACTACTAAAAAAAAGACATTTGAGAAAAGGTTTTTACATCGGGTATCAAAATAGGTGATGTAAAAAATACAGTTAACAAACTTTTTACATCAGGTATTTATTTCCAATGATATAAAAAATAAGGGAAAAATTTTTTTTCGTCACCTATTACATCGGGTAATCTCATCCACCGATGTAAAAGATTTCCAGAAAAAAAACACGGTGGCATTTTTGTAAATAAGAAACAAGGTGACAAAAAAGTTAAAAAAAATATAAGAAAGCTATTACATCGGTCTAAAGACAAACCGATGTAAAAAGTGATTCTTTGAATTAATATATAAATTATATTGAAAAATCATAAAAACGTGGATAAAAAAAAAAAAAACCTATTAAATCGGTGGGAGTCTCCACCGATGTAATAGCCTGACGTATTTTAAAAAAAAAAAACAACCTATTAAATCGGTGGGAGTCTCCACCGATGTAATAGCCTAAGCCGTATTTAAAAAAAAAAAAAACAACCCATTCTCCTTCCGCCTGATTCCGCGTTCCTCTCTCACAACCATCAAATCTCTTTCTTCTCTTCACAATTTCGCTGAATCCGAACTCCATCCGCCGGAAACCCATTCTCCTTCCGCCTGATTCCGCGTTTCTCTCTCACAACCATCAAATCTCTTTCTTCTCTTCACAATTTCGCTGAATCCGAACTCTATCCGCCGGAAACCCATTCTCCTTCCGCCTGATTCCGCGTTCCTCTCTCACAACCATCATCACCGAGCTTTTTCAACCTGTTATCTTTCCGCTGCCGTTCACACAGCAACACAACCAAGACCCACACCTCCGGTTCGTATTTGTCGCAACCCAGACGCACTCCTGCCAACATTCAACAATCAACCAGCTTCCGCTCACAGTCCATCAATCCACCGCCATTTCTTTAAGACTCTTCTGTTCACAAGCAGAGCTCCGCTCAACTTTCTCTTTTGTCCGTCTAGCATATCACAGCAACCTCAACATCTTAGTTCTGACATGTTCGACATTCCGCCACTGTGGGTAAACTTCAAATTCACGTTTACCGTTCTAGTTTGGTTTCAGTTTTTGGTACTGTTTTGATTGTGATTCTGAATAGTGAAGTTGATGGTACCATTGTGTTGTTTGAAACAAATCTGAATGATAAAATTGATGTTATTGTGTTGTTTGGTTTAAATGTGGATATTGAATTTTGATATGGTTATGCTATTTGTGTTAGGTTGTGTTTATCTGTGATCATTCACGTTGAATCGGTGATGTTATTATGGTGGTGTGAAGATTGAATATAGACAAAACAAAATGAGAAACATGAAAATATCAGCATTCTTCATTTTTCTCTTTCTTTCTATACTACAACTTCATGTTCAATGCCGTCCTCTTCCTACAAAATATCTCTCCAATGGAGTTGATAATGTTGAATTATATTTTGTCTTTTTTATTTTAACTTACTCATTGAACTAATCTCACTAGTTCAAATTCAAATAGTTTTAGTTTTCTCTCATATTTTTACATCACTTATATTTCTCATGTGTCACGTTTCACAAGAATTTTATGATTATTTATCACATTCTACAGTTATTTGTCATCAACTTTGAGTGCAAATAAACAAGAGTGAAATAGGAAAAAAAGTTAAAAATTTACAAGAGTAGGATAAAATCGTTTGAATTTGAAATATGAGTTAAAGTAGATATCAAATTGTAATTAAACTTCTTATTGGGTCTATACTCTATAGAATAGTTGCACTATTTCATTCTATGATACTTTATTCTATAAATATATGCAGGATTACACCGGTGACTTCGTGACAGCTGAGAACCTATATGCTGTTATACTTGGGGACAAGAGTAAAGTTAGGGGTGGAAGTGGCAAAGTGATCAACAGCAAAGCAGATGATAGAATATTTATATATTACTCTGATCATGGAGGCCCCGGAGTCCTTGGTGAGTCAAGCACCTAAGCATAGATTTTAGTAACTAGCTTTATCTTGCACATAAATCACATAGAGTGATTCTCATTTTCAATGCAGGGATGCCAAATATGCCATATGTATATGCTATGGATTTCATCGATGTTTTGAAAAAGAAACATGCATCTAGAGGTTACAAAGAGATGGTAAGATAGCATTTCTCGTGTAAAATATTACTAGAAATGATGTTTGTTTATGTAAAGTCATGGAGGTATTATTTTGTATAGGTTATATATGTTGAAGCTTGTGAAAGTGGTAGCATTTTTGAAGGTATAATGCCGAAGGATATAAACGTTTATGTAACAACTGCGTCCAATGCGCAAGAGAATAGTTGGGGAACTTACTTTCCTGGTGTGGATCCTGCTCCACCTCCCGAGTACATCACTTGCCTCGGCGATTTGTATAGCGTTGCTTGGTTGGAAGATAGGTACTATCGCCTTTTCTAATAACCTCATGCAGTTGTAAAATTTTTAAACTGTCAATCAAACACAATCGGTGTCTTTTGAATTATGCAGTGAGACGCACAATCTAAAAAGGGAAACGGTGCAGCAACAATACATGTTGGTAAGATAATTTTTTCGATGTTATAGCAATGTTGCTTTTCAGGATTAGCAATGAGGGAGAAAAATCATATTTGAATTTGTTATGCAGGTGAAGGAACGGACTTCAAATTACAACTACAATTTAGGTTCTCATGTGATGCAATATGGCGATACCAATATAACCGATGAAAAGCTTTATTTATACCATGGTTTTGATCCTGCAACAGTGAACCTTCCTCCAAACAATGGCAGACTAGAAGCTAAAATGGAAGTTGTAAACCAAAGAGATGCAGAGATTCTCTTCATGTGGCAAATGGTATATATTCTCTTCAACCTCGAGTTTTAATATACGAAAACTTTGCTCAAATGATTGATTCTGTACCGAGAATACATAAATTGTTCACTTTTCTTTCAGTATCAGAGATTACACCATCAACCAGAAAAGAAGAGAGACATTCTCGTAAAGATTTCCGAGACAGTGAAACATAGGAATCATTTAGATGGTAGTGTGGAATTGATTGGAGTTTTATTGTTTGGTCCAACAAAAGGCTCTTCAGTTCTACTATCCGTTAGAGCTTCTGGTTTGCCTCTTGTTGATGACTGGGAATGCTTAAAATCAAGGGTAAAATATAAACAAATAACTGAATTTTCTTGTTGTTATTATCACATTATTGATTGACGTTGAATTTGGTTTGTAGGTTCGGATGTTCGAAGCTCATTGTGGTTCACTGACTCAGTATGGGATGAAACACATGCGGGCATTTGCGAACATTTGCAACAGCGGTATTTCCGAGGATTCGATGGAGGAGGCATGTATGGCAGCATGTGGTGGTTATGATGTAGGGCTATTACATCCATCAAACAAAGGTTATAGTGCTTGAATGGTCTGTGCTTCTTGTCTAAAATTAAAACCTGTTATCTAAAGGTTATAATGTGTAGCGTTTGTGTTTTGGTTGTGAAAGAGAAAGCAGGAAGCATAGGGTAAGGGTAAGGTAGTAACTTTGAAAATATGAAAATATGAATAGAATGGAAAATGAATCACACCTCAATCCAGCCCAAGATTTGTGGATAATGTTATTAAGTATTTGGCAATGTATACATATGTGTAATAATTTTCCAATAAATAAGACTGTTAAATTAGATATTAGCCTATTAATCTAATCTTTTATGAAAACTATTAATTGTTTTTGTTTGTTTTATATTGCCTTTAATTTATATTTTTATTATAGAATGAATTTAAATAGAATTAGTTAGTGATGTTATACAACTTTCTGTTACTATCTAGTAATAGAGTTAGTTACAAAGCTAGAGCTAGAGTTTGTTATCTTTATAAAGTTTTATTAAGAATAATTTCTTATCTTTGCGGTTTACTTTTTCTTTTATGGCATAAGAACAAGGTTTTAATTCGGAAGAGAAATTAAAGAAAAAAAAATACCTCAAGTTTGAAACAATGAATACACTATGGTTTTTGCACAATACATGTGGTTTTTGCTCATGTGTTGAGTTTCTTGATTTTTTTGCTGATGTTAATTGTTATTATTTATTGTCAGGCAATATGATTTTGGTGTTGTCTACCGAAGATTTTATATTGGTAATTCAAGTTTGGAAACTTAGAAATAGTTGAATATTTTAGTATATGTATATTTTGTGAATATTATGTAATTGTAAGTTTTGAAAAAGACTTATAAATAGTTGAATATTGTTTTATATTTTGTTAAGAATTTGTAATTGTAAGTTTGTATGTTGTAATACAATACAAGTTTGCAATACAATTGTTCAATTTGTAAGTTTGTTGTGAAAAATATGAAAACATCGTCCTAAATGTGATATATGTGATGTTGGAAAGCTATGAAATCTATATAGCGACATAAATATAGTCTGTTTGATATTGGAAAAATATGAAAAAATGGGTACAAATTATATTTGTATAGGCAAACCCAGAAAATAAATAATCTATTCCAAAAAAATTTCATACATTTTACATCGGTTATTAGTAATACTGATGTAAAAACTTTCAAAAAGGGACTTTTTACATCGGTTGGAAGTAATACCCGATGTAAAAAGTCGCGTCACTGGGGACTTTTTACATCGGGTATTACTTCCATCCGATGTAAAAAACTGGAACAATTTTTTAAAAAAATGTGCATAATAATTGTTTTTTACATCGGTTCATATATTATAACCGATGTAAAAAAGGTACTTTTTACATCGGGTATTACTTCCAACCAATGTAAAAAACTGGATCAATTTTTAAAAAAATGTGCATAATAACAGGTTATTACATCGGTTCTGATATTATAACCGATGTAAAAAAGGGACTTTTTACATCGGTCCCAGAACCGATGTAAAAAGTCCCTGATTTACTATATCACCTGACTTTACATCGGATCCAAAACCGATGTAAAAAGTCAATTTTACCCGATGTAAAAAGTCATTTCTGCACTAGTGGCTCAAACAACTTGATGAAAATTGAAACCCTAATTAGAGGTTCATTGCCTTAGAGGGAGAATTTGTCTGGTCAATTCTTGGTCATCCTTGAGCAATTGGGAACCTCAATGAGTATGTCTTGAGTAAAATGGGAGGGTAAATTTTGGGGTACAACGATATATATACATAAATATGGTACACCCGAAAAGTCTAAAACCTGAAAAGGCGGCTTGGGAAAAAAGGGTATCCCGGTGGACTGAAAATCTGAAAAGACGGTCCAGGCAAAAGTTAGGGATTAAAGCGTACGACTATGCCCCGTTATCTCATCACTTGTCTATCAATAAAAGACTTACCACTCTGATCAGCATTTACCGAGGACTGTAGGGGATAGGACAATGTTCAATTCATCCATAAATCCCCATAGAGCAATCTCCACGGGATTATCCCCACAGAGTTATCTTCACCGGTTTATCTTCAACAAAGATACATTTCCTGACAGGTCTAAAATGCCTTCAAAAAGAAAGTGGGGATCTTCCAGCTGATAACATAATCATACTCACCATCAGATACCCCTAGAGGATAAAGGAGATGATCTTTTCCCCTAAAATATCGCCCACCAATGGAGTTCTAATCAGTACAATTCATGGAAATTATCTTCTCCAGACGAATCAGATGGTTATCCATCTCTTTTATCCCTAATCTGGGTATATAAGAATTACCTTCCCAAATGAATCAGAAGGTTATCCATCTCTTTTATCCCCAGTCAGAGTATATAAGAATTATCTTCCCCAGACAAGTCGGAAGGTTATCCATCTCTTTTATCCCCAGTCAGGGTATATAAGAATCATCTTCCTCAGACGAGTCGGAAGGTTATCCATCTCTTTTATCCCCAGTCAGGGTATATAAAAATTACCTTCCCCATACGAATCAAAAGGTTATCCATCTCTTTTATCCCCAGTCAGGGTATATAAAAATTACCTTCCCCAGACAAATCGGAAAGTTATCCATCTCTTTTATCCCCAGTCAGGGTATATAAGAATTATCTTCCTCCGACGAATCGGAAGGTTATCCTTCTCTTTTATCCCCAGTCAGGGTATATAAGAATTATCTTCCCCAGCCAAATCAGAAGGTTATCCATCTCTTTTATCCCCAGTCAGTGTATATAAGAATTATCCTCCTCAGATGAATCGGAAGGTTATCCATCTCTTTTATCCCTAGTCAGGGTATATAAAAACTAAATTTCCCACTAGAGCAATGGACAACCAAGGTTCCTAAACTCTACTCCCCAAACAGAAATTAATGCATCCCCTGTAGAGTTTCCTTGAACAAGTAAGCAGGAATCCCCAACGGAAGCATTCTAGACAAGATTGAAGATACACATACTCTTCATCCCCAACAATAGTCAGGGATTTATTTTCCCAAGCAAATATATTGCATGGGTTTACAAATACACTTCAACAACATTTCACATTCATACGTCATAACATATGCATACAAAACACATATAACATAATCTCATTTATTTTGACAATATCATTACACAATGCATTTCATACATCATGACTTTGCATACAACCAACTCTTTACCTTTTCAGGAAAGATCAATCAACAGACGATATCATCAACAATTTTCAAACAGGTCTAAGATTAATTCCTGAAACAGGACTGGGAAACTATCTATGTGACCAGGTCAGAGATTAATTCCTGAAACATGATGGGGCAACTATCTCAACGGCCAATAAAAAGCAGGTCCCAGATTAATTCCCAAAACAAGACGGGGTAACTATCTGAATGACCAGCCACTAATTAATTCGTGAAACAAGACATGTCAACTATCTATGAAAAGAAGATTGTAGATCAATTATCGAAACAAGGTGGGTTGACTATCTACATGAGCAGATTGAAAATTAACTCCCGAAACAGGACGGGAAAACTATATCTTTTTCTTTTTGGTCAGATAAAGATTAATTCCCGAAACAGGATGGCGTGACTATCTTTATAACCAATGGTATTAACTCCTGAAACAAGACGGGGACATTATTTTTCTTTCTTTTTGGTCAGATAAAGATCAATTCTGGAAACAAGACGGGGCGACTATATTTATCACCAATGGTTTGAACTCTCGAAACAAGACGGGTTTACCAACAAATCAGATCGTAGATTGATTACCGAAACAGGACGAGGCGACCATCTACATAACAAGCAGATACTCAAACACCTTTCCTAGAGGTTCATTTTGGAAAGTACCTTTTTATATACAGTCAGACGAAGACTCATTCTGATCCACTTTTTAGATAGTGTCGAGCATAGAATCATTCTAATATATTTTAAGATACAATCGAGCATAGACTTTTTCGGGCTCAGATTAAATCTACCAAAGATTTATTCTGATACTTCTTCCAGTAGACGTCTTCTGGATCAGTTTAAATCGACCAAAGATTTATTCCGATACTTCTTCCAGTAGACACTTTTTCTGGCTCAGGATAAATCGACCAAAGATTTATTCTGATGCTTCTCCCAGTTAAAGACAGACAAAGACATTTTTTGACTGAGTTTAAATCGACCAAAGGTTTATTTTGATACTTCTTCCAGTAGACACCTTTTCTGGCTCAGGATAAATCGACCAAAGATTTATTCTGATGCTTCTCCTAGTTAAAGACAAACACAAGCATCTTCTGGCTCATTTTAAATCAACCAAAGATTTATTATGATACTTCTTCTAGTAGAATTTTTTGGGCTCAGATTAAATCGATCAAAGATTTATTCTGATACTTCTTCCAGTAGACATCTTCTGGCTCAGTTTAAATCGACCAAGGATTTATTCTGATACTTCTTCCAGTAGACACCTTTTCTGGCTCAGTTTAAATCGAACAAAGATTTATTCTAATACTTCTCCATTTAAAGAAAGACGAAGACATCTTCTGGCTCAGTTTAAATCGACTAAAGATTTATTATGATACTTCTTCCAGTGGACAATTTTTCTGGCTCAGGATAAATTGACCAAAGATTTATTCTGATACTTCTCCCAGTTAAAGACAAACACAGACATCTTCTGGCCCAGTTTAAATTAACCAAAGATTTATTATGATACTTCTTCCAGTAGACATATTCTGGCTCAGTTTAAATCAACCAAAGATTTATTTTGATACTTCTTCCAGTAGACACTTTTTCTAGCTCAAGATAAATCGACCAAAGATTTATTCTAATACTTCTCCTAGTTAAAGACAAACACAAACATCTTCTGGCTCAGTTTAAATCAACCAAAGATTTATTCTGATACTTCTTCCAGTAGACATCTTCTGGTTCAGATTAAATCGACCAAAGATTTATTCTGATACTTCTCTCTATAGACCTTTTCTGGCTCAAATTAAATCGACCAAAGATTTATTCTGATACATCTCCCAGTTAAATATTTAAAGACCTCTGCTGGCTCAGATTAAATCGACCAAAGATT